GAGACGAGGGGAGGTGAGGCAGAGTGAGGGAGGAGACGAGGGGAGGTGAGGCAGAGTGAGGAAGGAGACGAGGGGAGGTGAGGCAGAGTGAGGGAGACGAAGGGAGGTGAGGCAGAGTGAGGGAAGAGACGAGGGGAGGTGAGGCAGAGTGAGGGATGAGACGAGGGGAGCTGAGGCAGAGTGAGGGAGGAGACGAGGGGAGGTGAGGCAGAGTGAGGGTCGTCTCACGGCTGCCTCACGCGTGTTTGAGCGGCTTCATTCAACAAGTCTGCCTCACGTGTACCTGCGAGGCTACATTCAACAAGTCTGCCTCACCAGTGACTGCGAGGTTTTATTTAATAAATCAATCTGTATCAAGCACGCGACATTCCAAAGGCACGCCAGTTAGCAACGTCAGTCAGTCATTTGCTAGTCACGTTAGTCATGTGCTAGTCACGTTAGTCACGTGCTAGTCACGTTAGTCACGTCAGCCAATCAGGTTTATCACGTCAGCTAGTCACGTCAGTCACGTTAGTCGCGTCAGCTAGTCACGTTAGTCACGTAATTAGTCACTTGCTAGCCACGTTAGCCGCGTGCTATTCACGTCAACTAGTCAAGTTAGTCACGTTAGTCACGTCACATGGTCACAAACAAGTCAACAGTTCTGCTGGTAGCTAGTCACGTAATTAGTCACATGCTAGTCACGTTAGCCGCCTGCTATTCACGTCAACTAGTCAAGTTAGTCAAGTTAGTCACGTCACATGGTCACAAACAAGTCAACAGTTCTGCTGGTGAAGGCTCATGTCAGGAAGCCATGTGTCGCCCAGCGGTCGTACATGATTGCCGGGGTAACCATGTGACATAGTACGACGAAATACAAGTTAAGAAGCGTCGTAAATTATAAATGAAGGTTTGTATTGATTATTCATTATGGCTGGTACGGGATTAAAACCACGATCGCTGATCTGAAAAAATATGATTTATGATCTTCAGATTAACGATTTTAAATTCGACAAACAATGATTCATCAATAACAAGATTGAAAAATAACTTCGAATCACATGCAAATTATAATGAAGACATCAAGAGAGAATAATTTTAATTGATTTATACGCTGAATTATTTTGGTTGTTACGGTTGGCAATTTCAGTAAAGTTTGGAAAATCATTGAACAGTATAGTGAGAATTCTCATAACTTTCTTGGTAAAGCCAGCAAGTATCATGAAAAAACTATGATAATCATAACACGATTCTTAGAGCTGCAATCAGGCTAAAAAATTGCTAGCCATGACTGTATTTTCAGAGCTACAATAAATCACAGTAATTTATAGAAATTACCCGGTGAAGTCAGTAATTGTAAGACTACAACAGATGATATGAATGATCGGAATGCTGATCATTATTGGATATTTAAAGCTACAATAAAACAACACAAGAGCTACGTTATATATGTTTTCATCTAAAGCATATGGATAAAAGTGATGAAGTAAAAAAATCGTTTCTCACTTTTTGCCTAACTTTGCGATGGTCGTTTAGCGTACCTACTTAAGAGGAAGAAATAGTTAAACAGAAATGCATGGGGTCTGGTGGAGGCTATAACCGCTTTGATGGAGACGTATATGGTGGCTCATTAATAAACTTAACTAGGATAAGTAAGTTTATTCTAGAAAAAATTAAAGTCTCAAATTGTTGTCCGCGTTATAATATTTCGGCACCAACACATCCCTACGTTGTAAATTGTGTAAGATGAAACCTAGTATGATGTTGCTTCGGTAGATCGCTCAACTCTGAAACTCGGTCTGGTTACTTCATTAATCATTACAGCATATTTAGAGCTACAATGAAACAATGCAAGAGCTACATATTTAGAGCTACAGCAAAATAACATAAGAGCTACATATTTAGAGCTACAACAAACAACAGAAGAGCTACATATTTAGAGCTACAACAAACAACACAAGAGCTACATATTTAGAGCTACAATGAGGCAGAGTGAGGGATGAGACGAGGGGAGGTGAGGCAGAGTGAGGGATGAGACGAGGGGAGGTGAGGCAGAGCGAGGGAGGAGCGAGGCTTCAGTCAACAAGTCTGCCTCACGTGTGCCTGCGAGGTTTTATTTAATAAATCAATCTGTATCAAGCACGCGACATTCCGAAGTTACGCCATTTAATAACATCAGTTAGTCATTCGCTAGTCACGTTATGTCATGCGCTAGTCACATTAGTCACGTCAGCTAGTCGGATTTGTCACGTCAGCTGGTCAGGTCAATTACGTCAGCTAGTCGGGTCAACTAGTCAAGTTAGTCACGTTAGTCACGTCATATTGTCAAAAACATGTCAGCAGTTCTGATGAAGGCTTATGCCAGGATGCAATGTCGCCCAGCGATCGTACATGATTACCGGAGTTACCATGCAACATAGTACGACAAAATACAAGTTAAGAAGCATTATAAATTATAAGTGAAGGTTTGTATTGATTATTCATTATGGCTTGTACGGGATTAAAACAGGATCGATGATCTGAAAAAATATGATTTATGAGCTTCAGAATAACGATTTTAAATTCGATTAACAATGATTCATCAATTACATGATTGAAAAGACTTAGAATCACATGCAAATTATCATGAAGACATTCAAGAGAGAATAATGTTAATCGATTTATATACGCTGAATTATTTTGAGTGATATGATTGGCAATATCAGTACAGTTTGGAAAATCTTCGAATAACATAGTGAGGAATGACATACTAACTGACTTAGTGAAGTAAGCAAGTATCATGAAAAAACTATGATAATCATAAAATGATACTTAGTGCTGCAATATTTCAACTCTGTAAGTAATAAGAATGACTTGGTGAAGTCAGCAAGTATCAGCCTAAAATAAAATTTTGCTAGCCATGACTGTATTTTCAGAGCTATAATAAAGCACAGTAATTAACAGAAGTCAGTAATTGTAAGGCTACAAAAGATGATATGCATGACTGGAATGCATATCATAAGTGGATATTCAAATCTACAATAAAACAACATAAGAGCTCAGATATATATGTTTTCATCTAATAAATCAGGATAAGAGTGATGATGTAAGAAAAATGGTTTCTCGTTTTTTTGTCTATAACTGTGCGATCGTCGTTTAGCGTGCTAATGAAAAGGATATAGTTTAGCAGAAATGCATGGGGTCTGGTGGAACCTATAACTATCGAGTTAATGAAAACGTATATGGTGGCTCATTAATAAACTTAACTAGGATAAGGAAGTTTATTCTAGAAAAAAAAACAAAGTTAAGGTAAGGCGCTATCAAATTGTTTTCCGCGTTATAATATTTCGGCAACAACACGGCCCTACGTTGTGAATTGTGTATGATGAAACCTAGTATGATATTGTTTCGGTAGATCTCTCCGATCTCCGGAACTCGATATCGTTTCTTCGATCATTAATCATGACAGGATATTTAGAGCTACGATGAAACAACACAAGAGCTACAACAAACAACACAAGAGCTACAACAAACAACACAAGAGCTACAACAAACAACACAAGAGCTACAACAAAACAACACAAGAGCTACAACAAAAAGCTACAATAAACAACACAAGATCTACAACAAAACAACACAAGAGCTACATATTTGAAGCTACAATAAACAACAAAAGAGCTACAATAAATCAACACAAGAGCTACATATATAAAGCTACAATAAACAACACAAGATCCACAACAAATCAACACAAGAGCTACATATTTAAAGCTACAACAAAACAACACAAGATCTACAACAAAACAACACAAGAGCTACATATTTAGAGGTACAACAAAACAACACAAGATCTACAACAAAACAACACAATAGCTACATATTTAAAGCTACATTAACAACACAGAAGCTACAACAAAACAACACAGCAGTTATGAGAACACACCTGGTGAAGTCGGCGAGCATGGCGCGGATGTCAGAGTTCTGCTTCTGTAGCTCCTGCAGATCCCTCACTGCGCGCTGTAGCCTCAGGGACAGACTAGCCTCAGTGGTGTGGGAGGGCAGGGGTGGGGAGGGCGCTAGTAACGCTACACCCACTAACCAAATGACACCCACTGCCCCACCTAGCCGCCACGCCCACCCACTCACCCACCTCATGCTCACTAGGCTGCGTCTGCAAATAAGGAGTGAGCATTAAGACACCAAACTAATTATTTCACGTCGTTACATAACGTATTATGCTCACATGGAAAGTTTATTCTATCATTTTTAGCGCCCTTGAGGCTAATCTATCATCGTTATAGGCACTATACACAGTTGAAAACTTCGATAAAATATACTAAAGTAAATTTAGGTGGTTGCTGCTTTTCATCTTCTATTCTCTATGACTATTTCCGTCATTGGGGGTAATGTCGGCGTAAATAACCAGAGCTCTGCTAGCTTACATGAATTGATGTCACAAGCGCAAAGAAGCGGGGCAGCGTCGATGCCTTCGATATCTAAAAGAAAAACAAGCATCCCGATCACAATGAATGACAGAATTCTTAATAATTTTAGATTTATTTGACTTTTAAAGCAGAAATTAACACCCAAGTGGAGGAATGATGTTTTGGTTTCAACAGCATGAGCTGAATTAGCTATTCGTCATCGCAGTTCAAGACACTACGAGCATATATGTACAGTCTGCATGTTCTCGCAATAATGATTTAGCCAGAAACCCGTCATGATATGACAATCTATCTCGTGCGACGCGGGACGAAACATATAATTACACAACGGCCAAATAAAGCTGAATCGGCAAATTTCAAACATTCATTATAAAGTACGGAATACTTAGCGGAAAAGCGCCTATCGCTGAGATTACTTCCACGTAATGGCTTAATTGAATTACCATTCATTTCACCTTCAGAAATTACCACAAATATTGTGAACATTTGGGAACAGGTAAACTTGTAATCCTTCGTTTCCCGATTATACATTTACATTCGTGTAGGATTAGCATTCTCTCGAGCAGAGCGGAATTTTTCCACGCATATAGCACGGAACATTCGATGAATGACTAGTGGGAAACAATAAATAATTAGACCTCGGCATGCGAATCTGTACAATTCACGGGAACCGAACTTGGTGTCATTAAGATAACGAGGTTCAAACCGGTATAACAGCTGCATGCTTCTTCTGTGGAAGCCGTGAGAATTGGGATATGAATGCGATTGCTGATGACCCTTCTTTAAGTAGGAATGCGATTGCTGATAACCTTTCTGTTAATGAGATAACGAGAGACCATGTATAGAAGTAATGACAGCGATCGACTGAGGCAATATCATACGAGGTTTAATCATACAAATGTACTGCAAAAATGGCGGGGGCTTTTCCGACATATAATAGCGTGGGCAACAATTCAAAGTCTCTACCCTAAACTTTAATTTTTCTCTTGGATTAACGTACGTACAATATTTATTAACAACACTGTCAAATAATTTTAGAAGTTGCCAGCATAAATAATGCACGCCAATTTTTAATTTATTCATTTATTTAATTTATGCATTTATTATTAATTCATTTATTCATGAGGACGGACGCTATAATTAAACCAACAATTCAGCCCACCACATACCGTACAAGGTCGGCTAATTTTCAGCGAATTGATATCGTATGCATGGAGCAAACAACGCGCACTGTCAATGGTGGGAGATGAGCTTCACATAAATGGATAATGGATTAATGGTCCCAACACATCATTACGAAGATAAGGACGTTGTGGATAATCGGCGTAACGGTTTGATCTATAAAGCTAGTTGGAGGAGGGGGGTTCATCTTGAGGAAATAAGTGAAGATCTAGTGCCTAAAAAAGTTGGAACACTGTTTTTAGATATCGACATCACGCCACTACAAGAATCTGAAATAATTTGGTAAATAAACTGATTGTCAGGATCTAAAAATACAGGTAAATTGCTCAATTGAGATAACTTGATACTAGGAATGATTTGAAATTAATCAGAAATTAAATTAAACTGAGTGATTAATGAAATCGACAAAAATTCGCATAGATTCAACCTGACTTGCGAATAGTCCAAACTCTGTACTAGGCAAACTCCCGATAAATAAACTTTTAATTAGTATCAAGAAAGAAATCATGTCCACTAATTTTGCACGAGAATGTTTTTTTTTTTCGTTTGTACTATACGAACCAAGTAGGCGTTGAAGATTTTCTGTCGCAGCTGATGTAGTGAAAAATTTAATTGTAGCGCTTTAGAACGGTTGCATGTGAGCGGAACGGTTGCATGTGAGGCATGCAGAACGCTTCGGAAAAAATGCAGAAAAGCTTCGAAAAAGCGTACAGAAGATAAAAACTAGTTAACTTGGATGAGCAAGAGAAATGTCCATTTTCGCGCAAGATCGCACAAATTGCTCTCCGAGAATAGCAACCGTTATCGAAGTAACCGCTAACGGCGAAATTTTAATTTTTTCCCTAGTTTACTCGTCATAAAAGACAAATTAAATTGTGTTTCATTCATTAGAAAATGTCAGGGAAAATCCCGTTGGGGATAATAACAGAGAGGGAAAGTTCAACTCGTCGTTGTTACGTAATACCAACGTGAAAACATGAGATGTATATACACGTTGATTGGCATGAAAAACTGATTGCATGGCTTACGCGAAAGATTTTTAAAAATAAATCACTGACTTCTAGTTCACAACGGTCGAGAAACCAAGGGCCAAAACATTACTTAACATAACCTCTTTTTGGGGAAGTGCAACACTTAACTCTCCATCGGACGCATATCAATCACTGAAGTAACATATATATATATATATATATATATGCTCTTGTTTACGGGCAAGATTCTAACGTCGATTATTGCTCGCAATCTACCAGCAAAGAGAAGTGCAAGTTGAGAAATGGCAGCACGGATTGTCAAGGAAGCACTTTCAAATGTTCAATTAACGCTATTCTGTTCGTACACGGACGTCGTAACTTTTATTAACTTGACTGCATATATTACGTCAACTGAGAAAATCTTGTCATGCCAAAGGGTTCCGTGCGTCATTTCAAATAACTGAGAAGGTCGTTACTTCTTTTCATATTTGGTCATTTATGCTGATACGGACAAGGATTGTCAATCGACACTTATAGGGGTGAGACTGTGAGAGACATCCATCTTAAATTTGTATGAACCCTGCAGTCTTATCATGGTAATGTTATCATATTTGTGTCCGATCGAGGCCCTTTTCCGAGATTCCTTTGGGTTTTAACTAATTCTCTTCCCTTTCTGGGTCAGAACATTCCCATTGAGAGTGATCATCGGTTTCTCGATCCGACAATTCGAAAAGAATTTTCTTGTATGAAAACGCTTGTTTCTTTCCATGCAGATTGTAACGGAACGTTTTCTGACAGTTGATTTTACTGCACGAAGAAACTATACTTCTATATTCTTTGTATAATAAGAAACAATACTTTCTATATTCTTTATATAATATTCTACTATATTCTTTGTCTTCGGTTTTATAGGTTAGATTTTTTACTATTGATTGCTTCGGAAAAGCAAAATGCAGCGTATGAATTATTGTGCAACCCAGTTAAACTGGAACCCAGTTTTACTGCAACCCACTTGCTTCAAACTAAATTTGAAGCAAGTACATTAGATTAAATATTGATATTTAGTGTCAGACAGGACTGAACCGTTCACTCAGGAATTCTATCAACAAATAAGATTTGTTTTTTGAATGCCGAAATTCTTATCATTTTAAATACTAACATATGCAAGCAAACAAAAAAAAAAGTTTGCAAGCAACTTGAAAACAACCGCAAGAGATGTGAATCTTGTTGCTTAAAATATGGCACGTACGGAAGGCTATAGTAATAGCAACATGTTCTCGTCACATGAATATCGTTGTGAGTATTGAACAATTTCGCGAACATGCAATCACAAAAATTATCGCAATTATCGATTTAGCTTTGCTGAACTGATACAAAAAATCAGAGCTTTGCTCACCTGCTGTACCTAATGATATAGTACGTAATATCACGATTTTGTGATTAACTTTCGTTGTTTGCACTTTGCAGTCAAAGCTCGTAGAACATGTAGAGAAATGTCGCCCGAAAAGCACTAGTAAATTCAAATTGATCAATGAAAAGAAGCATGCAAATGACGACCTCGAGATAATATTTCCCAAACATTCTTCACCAGCAGCAGCGCAGCAGGTTGCATTCTAAAGTGACACAAGACAGCCGTGCGCACCACATCCGTTCTTTCGTAAGCCCCAAAACATTGTCAACAAAGTATCCGTGGATTGCATCTCACGGCCGCACCACACGGATGTACATCTTACGGTCGCCTCTCACGGGTGTACTCCAATTACAATGTAATATACGAGTATATTTACTCGGTTGCAATAAACCGGAGAGTATCGTAAAATATTACATGAAAGAATCACGAACAGCTTTGTTGAATAATTTTAGCTATAATTAGGCTTTGTACCATCACCAAATCTGAAGATATTGTATTTCATCTATATTAGATCGTAATACATTCCATACAAAGCATTATACATTCTCTGCTTGCGAGGAGGTTACGCGGACCAGGCAATAAGTCCAGCAGCTATCCCAATCAATCGTCAGTTATGGAAAGATCGGGTTCCAAAGGCCGGGTCCCTTGTGAATCAAAGTAACGAAAAATTCAAGAATCGGCAACAGGCCATGGGCCTATTTCTTCAGTGCCGACACTTCTATTATATTCTATGAACAAGAATCGGCAACAGGCCATGGGCCTATTTCTTCAGTGCCGACACTTCTATTCTATTCTATAACAAGACAAGATTGTATGGTTTGTAACCGTGCCTGTCTCTGAGCCAAACCTCCCGTCAACGAGGCCAACTGCAATGAATTCTCCTGTCGCTGCTTCTGGTGATGAGGATAAAAAATTATAAAACTCAAGCAAATTATTTGGACCCTTCTTGCGCAGGTCAAGAAATAAACTAAAACAAACCTGAATGGAGAAGTTTTATCATGACAGCATCGCGCGAAATTTCTACGCGATGCACGAGTAAGTAAAGCACATTTACAGGCCTGATATTTATTACCCTCGGGAAGCAATAAAACTTAAGCGTGCTGGAAGGCCGTAATATATAGCAAAGAATTTCGGAGCATGGACACCGGCAACGTGGATATAT